CCTCCATGCTCCGGGGGCAAAGGGCAAGTCTGAGCCTGAGCCTGGCCTTGGCTGCCTCAGAGGCTCAGGCCCCGCCCTCCCCCTCTCCCTGCCCTTCCCCCTCCCCCTCCACCCAAAGGGTTTCCAAACCTTTCTGCAACTGGCTCTTGCAGGCTGGAGCTGTCCCACACTCCCTGACTGCTGCCTGAATAGAAATGTTGCTGCCACTGCCAGACAGTTTGTTTTAAACTTTGGATGGACCAGCAATCAAAGTGGTGGGGAAAAGTGGGGACTGCTGGACAACACTGAACCCCCTGCCCATTCTGGATATGTAGATAGATATGATCAACCTGATTTCTTCTAAACTCTCCAATCCGCAGGTGCTAACAACCCTCTCCCCTTTTTAAATGTATTAACCTTCCCCTAAGCAGGCTAACCTTCCTTCTGCACTTTTGCTGTCTCCTAGTGCCCATTACATCTACTATAAAATTCATAGATTGTAAGGGGCTGGAAGGCTCCTTGCAAAATCATCAGGTTCAGTCCCCCCGCACTAGACAGGAAAGATAATTGGGGTAAGGTGACCCCAGCGAAGTGAACGTCAAGTCTCCTCTTGAAGCTTTCCAGGGTAGGTGATTGCACACCTCTGGAGGGAGCTTATGCCACAGTCTGGACACCCTGACTGTGAAGAAGTTTTTATTAGTGTTAAGCCTGAAATGGTCTTCCAGGAGTTTGTGACCATTAATCCTGGTTTTCCCCAAGGGTGCCCTGATGAACAGTTGTTCACAGATCCCTTGATGTTCTCCCCTGATGTAGGAATAAGCTGCTACCAAGTCCCCTCTCAGTCTTCTTTTGAGGCTGAAGAGGGCCAAATCCCTCAGCCTTTCCTCGTATGGCTTGGCTTACAAGTCTCTGATCATACGGGTGGCTCTTCTCTGGACTCTCTCAAGTTTTCCCACGTCCTTGGTGAAGTGTGGTGCCCAGAACTGGACGCAGTACTCCAGCTGCGCAATGCTGAGTAAAGCAGAAGAATCACTCCCTTGGTTTTGCTTGAGATGCATTGGTTGATGCATGCCAGAGGACTGTTTGTTCTGCTGGCTGCAGCATCACACTGATGGCTCATGCATACTATGGTTTATTATTACCCCACGGTCCCTTTCAGTTGTAGAGCTAGTCAGTTTGGTGCCACTGAGCCTGTATGTTGGGGATTGCTCATCCTCAGATGGTTACATGGGACAATATATTTAGACCAGCCACACGTGCAAAGTAATTATCACGTGACAAAAATGCCCTTCCAGCTCTAAAAAGAGCCAACCAGCTACAAACTTAATGCTTGCAAATGTGTGACAAACTCTATAGATGGTTTCTACCCAGTTTTAATTTGAATGAGTGGCAGGGCCCTTAGATCCTCCTGTTTATGCAGCTCATATTTCATATCTATCTACCTATATACCCAGGGGCAGACGTGGGGGGGAAAGGGGGTATAGATAGACACACTTATATCTAGATCCATAGATAGATCTATACGTATGTATATTTCAGGCAGAAATGAACCTGGGCTTGTGCTTCTCAAACAGACATAGACCTCCTAATGCTGTGTGGCAGGCACCCTTTGCAAGATCTCTCAGCACCCCAAGGCCAGTGCCCTGGCTGAGAACCACTGGCTGACCGTGACTTCAGTGCCTGCGAGAAGGGGCCAGGGGAAGTGGGGAGCCCTGTGGAGACAGGTGAAGGGGAGCTGAAGGGATACTGGGAAGGGGGGGAGGAAAAAGAAGGGGGGGGAGACCAGGGGAAGTGGTGGGAGGGAGGGAGGGAGGGAGGAAGAGAGGAGGAGAAAGGAGAAAGTGGGGAAAAATGTTTTATTGATATATCTACAGTGTTAAAGCAATTTGGAAGCCTACCGGTGTCTCCATCATAATAATAAAATGAATTCTAAATACCTATATGTTTTGCTGTTTGCCTTTGGTTTTCTTATCATAGAGCAGTTAGAGCTCCCCCTGACCCCTTCACTAACCAGGATGTGG